ATAATCCATTATTATGGATTAACGCAGAAAAATGTTGGAAGAATTAACACTGTTTAAAAAAAATGCTAACTAGAGGAATCTACAGATTCAACACAATCCCTATAAAAATTGCAACATTTTTCCAAAAACAGAATAAAAAGTATTAAAATTTATATGAAACCATAAAAGACACAGAGTGACTAAAGCAATTCCAAAAAAACGACAAAGCTAAAGATATCACACTGATTTCAAATTATATTACAAAGCTATAACAATTAAAATAGCAAAATATTGGCAGAAAAACATACCTAGGGCTCAACAGAAAAAAATTGAGAGCCCAGATAGACCTACAAATATACAGAAAATTTATTTATGACAAATGAGCAAAGAAGATACAACTGAAAAAGGACAGCATTCAATGAAAGGCACTGTGAAAACTGGACAGCCAAATGCAAAATAAAAAATTAGACCACTATTCTATGCCATATATAATCATCAACTCAAAGTAGATTACAGACTTGAATATAAGACCCAAAACTGTAAAAGGACTAGAAAAAAGCACAGAGAGTAGACAGTTTATCGATCTTAGCAATATCTACCTGCATATGTCTCCAAGAAAAGAGAAACGAAGGCAAAAATAAACAAATGGGGCTACATCAAACTAAAAAGCCTCTGAACAGCAAAGGAAACGACTAACAAAATGAAAAAACCACCTAATGGAATGGGAGAAGACATTTGCAAACCTACATTAAATAAGGGCTCACTATCCAAAATATCACTACGAACAAAGCTAGTGGAGGTGATGGAATTCCAGTTGAGCTATTTCAAATCCTGAAAGATGATGCTGTGAAAGTGCTGCACTCAATATGCCAGCAAATTTGGAAAACTCAGCAGTGGCCACAGGACTGGAAAAGGTCAGTTTTCATTCCAATCCCAAAGAAAGGCAATGCCAAAGAATGCTCAAACTACCGCACAATTGCACTCATCTCACACGCTAGTAAAGTAATGCTCAAAATTCTCCAAGCCAGGCTTCAGCAATACGTGAACCGTGAACTTCCAGATGTTCAAGCTGGTTTTAGAAAAGGCAGAGGAACCAGAGATCAAATTGCCAACATCCGCTGGATCATCGAAAAAGCAAGAGAGTTCCAGAAAAACATCTATTTCTGCTTTATTGACTATGCCAAAGCCTTTGACTGTGTGGATCACAATAAACTGTGGAAAATTCTGAAAGAGATGGGAATACCAGACCACCTGACCTGCCTCTTGAGAAACCTGTATGCAGGTCAGGAAGCAACAGTTAGAACTGGACATGGAACAACAGACTGGTTCCAAATAGGAAAAGGAGTACGTCAAGGCTGTATATTGTCACCCTGCTTATTTAACTTATATGCAGAGTACATCATGAGAAACGCTGGGCTGGAAGAAGCACAAGCTGGAATCAAGATTGCCGGGAGAAATATCAATAACCTCAGATATGCAGATGACACCACCCTTATGGCAGAAAGTGAAGAAGAACTAAAGAGCCTCTTGATGAAAGTGAAAGAGGAGAGTGAAAAAGTTGGCTTAAAGCTCAACATTCAGAAAACTAAGATCATGGCATCTGGTCCCATCACTTCATGGGAAATAGATGGGGAAACAGTGGAAACAGTGTCAGACTTTATTTTTGTGGGCTCCAAAATCACTGCAGATGGTGATTGCAGCCTTGAAATTAAGACGCTTACTCCTTGGAAGGACAGTTATAACCAAACCAGACAGCATATTAAAAAGCAGAGACATTACTTTGCCAGCAAAGGTCCATCTAGTCAAGGCTCTGGTTTTTCCAGTGGTCATGTATGGATGTGAGAGTTGGACCATAAAGAAAGCGGAGCACAGAAGAATTGATGCTTTTGAACTGTGGCGTTGGAAAGAACTCATGAGAGTCCCTTGGAGTGCAAGGAGATTCAACCAGTCCATCCTAAAGGAGATAGATCAGTCCTGGGTGTTCATTGGAAGGACTGATGAAGTTGAAACTTTGATACTTTGGCCACCTGATGCAAAGAGCTGACTCATTTGAAAAGACCCTGATGCTGGGAAAGATTGAGGGAAAGAGGAGAAGGGGATGACAGAGGATGAAATGGTTGGATGGCATCATCAACTCAATGGACATGGGTTTGGGTAGACTCTGGGAGTTGGTGATGGACAAGGAGGCCTGGTGTTCTGTGGTTCATGGGGTCGCAAAGAGTCAGACACAACTGAACGACTGAACTTAACTGATCCAAAATATAAAGGAGAACTCATAAAAGTCAACAACAACAAAACCTGATCATAAAATGGAAGGAGGGTCGGAGATCATAATTTTTCCAGAGAATTTCGGATTGGAATGCAAAAGTAGGGAGGCAAGAGATAACAGAATAACTGGCAAGTTTGGTCTTAGAGTACAAAATGGAGCAGGGCAAAGGCTAACAGAGTTTTGTTAAGAGAACACACTGGTCATAGCAAAGACTCATTTCCAACAACCCAAGAGATGAGTCTACACATGATGTCACCAGATGGTCAAAATTAAAATCAGATTGATTATGTACTTTGTAGCTGAAGAAGAAACTCTATTTATAGAGTCAGCAGAAACAAGACCTAGAATGACTCTTCCTCAGATCATGAGCTCCTTATTGCAAAATTCAGGTTTAAATTGAAGGAAGTACAAAAAAACTACTAAACCATTCAGGTATTACCTAAATCAAATCCCTTAGGATTATACAGTGGAAGTGATGAAAATATTGAAGGGATTAGATCTGGTAGACAAAGTGTCCGAAGAACTATGGATGGAGGCTTGTAACATTATACAGGAAGCATTAATCAAAAATATCCGAAAAAAAAAAGAAATGCAAGAAGCCAAAGTGGTTGTCTAAGGAGGCTTTACAAATAGCTGAATTAAGAAGACAAGCAGAATGCAAGGGAGAAAGGGAAAGATATATCCAACTTAATGCAGAGACTTAGGGAATAGAAGGAGAGATAAGAAAGCTTTTTTAAATGAACAATGCAAAGAAATAGAGGAAGACAACAGATGAGAAAGACTAGATATCTTTTATAGAAAATTGGAGGTATTAAGGGAACATTTCATGCAAGGATGGGCACAATAAAGGACAGAGACAATGATACCACTCTAATAGCAGAAAGTGAAGAGGAACTAAAAAGCCTCTTGATGAGGGTGAAAGAGAAGAGTGAAAAACCTGGCTTAAACCCAACATTATAAAACTAAGATCATGGCATCCTTTCTCATCACTTCATGGCAAATAGCAGGGGAAAAAGTGGAAGAAGTGACAGAACTTACTTCCGTGGACTCCAAAATCACTGTGGACAGTGACTGTAGCCATGAAATTAACATACACTTGCTCCCTAGAAGGAAAGCTAAGACAAACCTAGATAAGATGATATATCAAAAAGCAGAGACAGCAGCCTCCAAAATGAATACCACAATCACAGAAAGTTAACTAAAATGAAAAGAATAGTATTATGTCCCAGATGAAGGAACAAGATAAATTCCCAGAAAGACAATGAAATGAAGTGGAGATAGGAAAGCTTCCAGAAAAAAGAATTCAGAATAATGACAGAGAAGATGGTCCAGGATTTCGGAAAAGAATGGAGAAGATGCAAGAAATGATTAGCAAAGACCAAGAAGAACTAATGATGTACTCTGGCATCATAAGATGCTTGGATGGCATGACCGACCCAAAGGATATGAGTTTGAATAAGTTCTGGGAACTTGGTGATGAACAGGCAAGCCTGGTGTGCTATAGTCCATAGGGTAGCAAAGAGTCAGACACAACTGAGCCACTGAACTGAACTGAGCTGAACTAAGAAGAGCTAAAGAATAAACAAACAGAGATTAACAATATACTAGAAGGATTCAACAGTAGAATAACTGAGTAGGAAAAGCTGGTGAGTAACTGGTAAGTAGGAAAAGCTGGAAGACAGAATGGTGGAAATCACTGCTGCAAAACAGAATATAAAAAGCAGAGACATCACATTGCAGAGAAAGGTCCAACTAGTCAAAGCTATAGTTTTTCCAGTAGTTAAATACAGATATGAGTTGGGTCATAAAGAAGGCTAAGCGACAAAGAATTGATGCTTTTGCATTGTGGTGCTGGAGAAGACTCTTAAGAGTCCCTTGGACTGTGAGGAAATCAAACGAGTCCATCCTAAAGGAAATCAACCCTGAATATTCATTGGAAGGACTGATGCTGAAGTTGAAGCTCCAATACTTTGGCCACCTGTTCTGAAGAGGCAACTCAATGGAAAAGTTCCCAACGCTAGGAAAAATTGAAGGCAAAAGGAGAAGGGGGCAGCAGAGGATAATATTATTAAATAGCATCACCGAGTCACTGAAAGTGAGTTTGAGCAAACTTCGGACAGTAGTGGAGGATGGAAGAGCCTGGTGTGCTGTAGTCCATGGGGTCACAAACAGTCGAACAACAGCAACAAAATTCATGCACAAATTCCACTAAGGTTGAACATGTTCTATCTTCTAGTTATGTACTTTAAATCTTTGTTCTCATTAGTATATCACTATGCTTTCCCATAATACAAGTGATCCTTATCATTATTAATAACAAACTATACAGCATTCTTAATTTCACACATTCCCAAGCTAATTCACCTACCAGAAATCTTTAAGAGTCATAAATTCAGTTAATATTTCAAAATGAAAACTAGTCATGACTGACAGTCTAAAGTTCTATGTATGCATCATAAACTGCATATTTTATTAATATAAATATCAACACATATACACAATGTATTTATAAATACATACATATATATAGTAATGTAATCCACTGTCTTATTTCACAAGTGATGTTGTCTTAGGTATTTTCCTTAATCTGTCATATAATGTATGTGTTTATTTTTTTCTAAGCCTCAGATTTTATAAAAAAAAAAAAGCACTAAATATGTTTTGCAAATAATATCATTCATTTAAAAAATATTTTCATTATGGCAAAGCAATACTCAGTCAACATAAAGATAAGCATTGTTTTTTTCTTTACCTCTACAGATAGGAACAGGAAAATCCCATGAGGCTGTATTGACTGAATTGGCTATACAGGTGAGTTGAGGGTGGCCATCGAGGATATACCCAGTTACACAGCTGTAGCGGATCTTGTCCCCAACATCAAATCTTGTACCATATAGCACACCTTTGGGTGGAACTCCTGGATTTCCACAAGAGCTACTCTGCAATTCTACAGAACAGAAGGAAAAGGAGTTTACAGTTATTTTAATACATATTTTTATATTTTAGATTTACAAAGTTACATGTAGATACAGATGTCCTTTTTCCTTTTAAGAAGATTTACAAAATAATGGAAATGTCTTCTATTTCAATTACATCAACAGAGAAGTATGGGAAAGGAAGAAAATTTTACTGAATAGGTATTACATGCCTATCTTCATGCTAGAAAAATTTAGATATTTTTATTAAGTCTGTAAAAATTGTTTAAATTAGGATTTATTATTCATTTTTACACCTGGGTTCTATCCTTGGGTTTAGATAGTTTATATTATTTTTGTAGCAATTTTTTAAATTAATATTTATTACTCATACTTTACAACCAGGTTCTAGCCCACAGCAACCCACTCCAATATTCTTGCCTGGGAAATCCCATGGACAGAGGAGCCTGGTGGGTCATAGTCCATGGGGTTGCAAAAGGGTCAGATACAACTGAGTAACTAAACAAATAAATCACATTTCACAGACAATTTAAAAAAGCAATATCATTTATGTGGCTTCTTCAATGTTACATTCTACTAACATAGTAATATAAAACTCATGTTTCATCAATATGCTTTCCAATACTTTGATGCTTCTACTTAACCTTAAACCATGAACATTCATCTGAAAATATTTATGTACATTTTGGGTGGAAACTTTTTTCACTTAAATAAAAAAATATAAAGCAGTAAAAAATGGACATATTTGTGAGATTCAAGAGACTGGTCTAGAATTTCAGCTCTAATATGTGTTTAACCTTGAGAATATAATGAGAATTATCATAACAAGTGCATACAGTTGTGAGTTTTAATCAAATCAATATGCAAAACATCAGGAAACTGCCTGATATTCGTCTGTTACTTTGTTATTTTATTAGTTTATGCTTAAAGTATACAAGTATATAAATACAAGAGATTTTTAAAAAATAATATTCATTTCAGAGAAAAATACATTTTCACTTTAAGAGAAAAAACAGAAAAGTTTTATAGAAGTAGAAGTTATAGAATTTAATGAAGTTAGGGGGGGAACAGTATTTCCTAAATTTTCTACTAGATTATTTACATTTATACTACAAATCATGACCAACAGAAAACAACCAGTAAGGAATAAATGGACTAAAAGATATTCCAGTTTGAGTAAGCTTAACTTTGATATAGTTAATAGTATTATAAAAATTCAATTAACTAGGAAATTAATTAACTAATATTAAGGAAAGCTGGATAAGTGTACATATATGGGACCCCTGTACTATTATCATAATTTACCTGAAAGTTTAAAATTATTGCAAAATAAAAAGCTAAAACAGATATTGCAATACAAAAATAAAGTATGTTTCCAATTTAACCTGACATTCATCCTATTTGTTCAGTTAGTAAAGTCGATGATATCACTTTACATTAAATCAAATAATTATAAGCCACTATAACGCTGAAAATATCAATAGCAATATTAAATAAAAATACCAAAATATAAAACATTTTATAAAATGTAATAGCAACTGTATAAAATCAACAATCATTTATTGATAATTAGTGCAGTAAACAAAGTTGAAATTTTATATTTTTACCCATAATATGCACATGGTACTTTTGAGAGTGTTTCTTCAGTGAAAAAAAATTTTTTTTGTTTAATTTTTCAATGGTACTGAAAAGAAAAAATCAGTGATGAATTTCAAATGAGGTCAATCAACAAAAGAAGTATTGAAGATTCCAGAATGTTCCTTATATACATTAGAAATAAAGTATATACTTTCAGTTTAAAGCAATTATTTAAAGTTCTCAAACCTAGAAATGCAAAGAACTTGACTATTATTGATTAAATATCAATGGTTTCTAAAAATAACAGGTAATTCATTAAGCTACCTTAGCCTTTAATTATACATTATAAACTAATATTTGCAAAATATTTTAAATATCTGTAACTATGATTAATGATTTTTAATATTTCACTTTACCATTTCATAAAGGCAAATTCTATAGTTCATTTTTGATAAAATGTAAAACATTTATTTCCTATAAATTTTCAGTCATTTTTTACAAAATATTTTTGGGATGAACAATTTATTTTGGAATAGTTAATTTTTTAGAAAATTTAGTTGATTAACAGATGAGCTGTTTGCTGCAAGAGAGGGGAGGTTACTAAGTTTTGATGAAATGAGTTAAGAATTCAATCCTCTGAATATAGTAAAGAAAAAGGAAATATTTTTAATGAAACTACCACTTGTGTTTTTAGAATCAATCCATTCTTTTCCTTTCACCCCCCAAGAAATAATTGAGGTCAGGACTTCAATTATCATGAACTTCTGCATCTAGGGAAAAAGGAGTTTCCAAGTTATTTCACAAGAAGCATTAGGTGTAGAAATGAAAGGAAAGAAAGAAAAAGGCTCTAAATAGTTGCTATGCTCAAATTTAACTTTTATTTACATGAACAAATAAACATTACACAGCAACAAGAAAACATATGAAGTGAATCAGTGAATGAATAATAACAATGATCCAAGTTTTAAAAGATTACCTAATCTTATCTCTTGCCTTGTGGCTGAATTATATCTAAAACAAAAGACAGATACTAATTTAGGCTGTTTCAAAATTAAACTAAAAAAAATAATAATAATTCCAAAATATATCTGGTTCTCCTCTTCAGGAAACTGCTGCTAGTTTGCCCTTGTTCTTTGACCTTCATTAAAAATAACCTACCCATCATCCTCTGTACATTGAGGAATTCATGAACATGTTATTAAGAACTTTCACATTTAGGTTTAATAGATCCCAATTGTATAGCCATTGCTCACGGTTTCTATTTTTTGTCCCTTCCCAACCCTTTAATCTGGGACTTCTCTCTCTATGCTGTTTATGTCCATTTTAAAACGCAGAGCCAAGAAATGTATGTTATTAGCTGGAAGAATTATATGCTTCCCGGATGGTGATAGTGGTAAAGAATCTATCTGTCAATGCAGGAGATGTAGTGAGACAGATGCGGTTTGATCCCTGAATCCGGAAGATTCCCTGGAGTAGGAAATGGCAACCCACTCCAGTATTCTTGCCTGGAAAATCCCATGGACGGAGGTGCCTGATGGGCTACATACCACTGGGTCACACAGAGTTGGAGAGTAGCCCACCATTAAAAAAAAATGCTATATCCTGATTAAACGTTCATGTTTTATTCTTGATTTTCCTAAATAGTGTTGCAATATGAACTTTTAAATAAAATTATCTTTTTGTCATTACTATAAGAGTTGTAAAACTAGCTAAGATAAACTAATTTTTAAACACTGCTTCTACCAGCAATCAAAAGTGTGAATTTCAAGAGAAAACGAAGATATACACCGTAAGTCAGGCTCAGTGATACACGTTGCAAAGTAATCATTATTATACATGGTATTTACAATAAGTAATGATTTTGTTTATTATAAAAATATCCTTAAGACAAATAGAGATCTAAGCATAAAACAAAGAATTTTCATGTAATTCATTAAATGTACCTGCCAGCTAACAACATTGTGCTTGTCACTTCAATGTTTTTCTGAAGCAGATGATTATATCTAGGCAGAATTGCCAAAGAGACTGTAGCTATCTTTCTTCACCAACATATGACACTAATATATTAATCAAAAGGCTTAGATGATTAAAACAAAGCTATAGAGCCTGATAAATCCCATTTAATATTCAGTAATGCAAAGATTAAAATGGGACTGGAGTGTGTTGGGAGGAAGTACTATAAAGTTATTTTCACCAGACTGTTGGTTGAGCAATGATCAAATTTGTTAATACAAAGGTTACTAAATAAAAGAAACTCCCTATGTACTGAAGCTTCATTTGAATTTAGTCTTGGAATTATGCCACAAGATCATGTTTATAAGACAAAACTGAAATACTTAGAGTGGGCAGTTTAGTGAATTGAGATGATCAATGGAAAACATGTCTAAAGATTTTATACTCAAATATGTCTCTAAAAATGTCAGACTTTCATGTAATTTTACTGCTCAATCCACAACAAATGATTGTGAATTTGTTTAAAAGCTATGTTTTGTATCTTCCCTTCTCACAGATATTGAAATTATCAGCAAATAATTTGAAGGAATTTGGTAATATAAATATTCTAAAGTGTGAAGGATTGTTGATACAGCAAAAACTACTTGGGAGAGATCCAAGATAAACAAAAATCCAATTGTAATATAGAGGTTATAGTGTAGTGATATTCATCTATATTAATTAAAAAGGAAACATAAAAATAAATTACTTGGTAAGTGACAATTAATTTATTCATCAGAAGATCTTGAGGTTTACAATTAACAATGCTCTATGATATGTACCAGTGTAAAAAACACCACCTTCCTTGCTTTCTAAAAATGAACAGCTTGAGGAATCTAATATCCTCAGTCATTGAAACCAACTCTGAACCATATTCTGCTTTAAGCATTCATTTTCACACCTTCAGTTCAGCTCAGTCGTGTCTGACTCTTTGCAACCTCAATAACCGCAGCACACCAGGCCTCCTATCCATCACCAACTGCCAGAGTCTACACAAACCCATGTCCATTGAGTCGGTGATGCCATCCAACCATCTCATCCTCTGTTGGTCCCCTCCGCCTCCTGCCCTCAATCTTTCCCAGGATCAGAGTCTTTTCCAATGAGTCAGCCCTTTCTCGTCAGGTGGCCAAAGTATTGGAGTTTCAGCTTCAACATCAGTCCAAAGAACAATGGGTGTTCCAGTGAACACCCAGGGCTAATTTCCTTTAGGATGGACTGGTTGGATCTTCTTGCAGTCCAAGGGACTCTCAAGAGTCTTCTCCAACACCACAGTTCCAAAGCATCAATTCTTCGGTGCTCAGCTTTCTTTACAGTCCAACTCTCACAGCCATACATGACTACTGGAAAAACCATAGTTTTGACTAGACAGACCTTTGTTGGTAAAGTAATGTCTCTGCTTCTTAATATGTTCTCTAGGTTGGTCATAACTTTCCTCACAAAA